GGGAGGGACAATACCATTATCATTTATTGCAAAATACTCAGATAGAGCTCCTCCTATTTCTTGCTTAATATTTGTGTTTGTTATAATAATGAGACATTAAGTCTCCAGTACCTGAAGTGATTGTCAAACCCTAAGTGAATTTTCATAGTAACTGGACCATGGTCTGAGATCGTGATTGGCTCAATTTTACTTTCTTTTATTCTATATAATTCATTTTTTGATATACAAAAAAGGTCAATCCTCAAATAACTTAACTGTGTACTTGGGACATGAAAGTGAAGTCTCTTTCATTAGGGTGGAAATGCTGCCATACATCCGCTAGCCCAAGCTCTTTCATCACATTTGATAACCCCTTAGACATTTTAGACTGAGACTTTGTTATTGTAGGTAGCCTGTCCAATTTTGAGTTTAATGTGCAGTTACAGTCGCCCCCCATTAGTATAATTCCTTCACTGTTATCTGCCAGTAGAGCTGCAACTTTTTTAAAGAAATGTAGACAGTCTCCATTAGGGGCATAGACGTTCAATATGGTTATTTTTATTTCACCAATTGTGCCAATCTCCATAACATACTGGCCTTCATCATCCTGATGTAGGGGTAACACCTAGAATATTTGCACTCGTAATAAAGTTTGGGGCACCACCCTCCTAATGAGGGAAGCGAAGTATCAAATTGATAACTCTGTAAACCAATTATTAATTCGTCAGCATGCTTATCAATAATGAATCAATCTCAATATCTGGGTTATGAATTCTCCATACAATGATTTTAATTCCTGCTCAAAAGAGATATACACAGACAACGACTTGGCGATAAATGAAGATTTATTTATGCTAAATATGTAACAACTGAGTAAATGAATGAGGATGATATGAAAAAACACAAAATCAACCGTAAGTATTAGGGATAGACCGATATGGATTTTTTTAGGGCCGATGCCGATACCGATTTTTTTCCATCACCCTTAGCCGATGACCGATTATGGACTGCCGATTTTCTTGAGCCGATATTTGGGGCCGATACTGCTTTTGCTCCCTCTATTTACATCAAAAAAATGACACAATGATAACAAATATTACAGGTCTCAAGTTTAAAATAAGAAACATTCATTGAACAGTAAAAAATACTAAAACAAGATGGAAAGTTGAGGTAGAACAGGTAGAATATTATTATTATTATTATAATACATTCAAATAAAAAAAAGAGTTCAGTGCTCTTAAATCTTCCAGTAATGTCTTTATAAAATAAACAAATATTTAAGCTGAAGCATAAACAAAACAACAACTACTGTACACAGTAGGATTCGCTGCATGTGCGCTGCAGGGTCTTCCGGCAACACAGAGCTGCCCGTGGATGCCTGTCTGTAAATCATGCCAGGGAAAAATAAATCCGCAAACCCACGCGCGTATCGGCCGATGCCGATACAAGTAAAAAACTCAAATATCGGCCCGATATATCGGCCGGCCGATGTATCGGTCTATCCTTAGTAAGTATAAATGGATTAAAACAAGAAGTAACACTTGTGTAAGTTATTTAGTTTGGCGATAGTGAGAGAGTATGTGACTATAGATAAATTGGGAACGCAGGGATGCGCAAAACCATTTACCTAAGGAAACCTAAATTGAGATCAAGATAATTAAGTCTTCTATTCGACATCAACTCTTACCACTGCACAGTGGCTATATCAGGTGAAGGAAATTCTTTGCCTCCTTTCTTAGCAGCAAATCAGGCGGACGTTTCTCCTGAGGTCACCGGACTATCGCTTTGTGACTCCCGGCTTCGCTTTACGGCCTTCCAGCAGGGTGATACAAACTGGAATGCAGCGGTGAGGGACGGTGGAGCCTGGTGGCGGTGTCCTTTAGGTGGTCCTCACACGTCGGTGATATTAGGCTGCAGGTTGGTTTGGCAAAAGAGTCCCTGTGACAAGTGGTTGGCAGCCGCTGGACCTGATGAATCTTTGGGGGGAGTTGTAGGTCGAAAAGTTTATCTGTTTAGCTGTGGCTACTTGCTTATAATAAAGTTGAAAACAATCTCGTCGGCCGTTTTATATTATTGTCAAAGTTATTATCTTATGTTAACTTTTTACCTCATCTTGGCATAAGGATGGCTGAAAGGAGCATTTGTCAAGACTGGGGGGGGGGGGGGGGGGGGGGGGGGGGGGTGAAATTAACGTCCTTAAAGGGAAATTTCGGTTTAGTTCAACCCGTCTCCTATCGTCCTAAATTTGTTTCAAGTCACTAGTGACATAGAAATAATAGTTAGCATGTTAGCCGTTAGCCTAGATACAGCTGTAGCGTCAGACCTTAAACAGACCTTGTTAAAACTTAATTGAACGGGCATCCTTTCAAGTGCAAAGTTAGTCCACTAAACAAGCTTTTTCTCCACAAAGACCACCTCATATCGTTAGGATAAATGTCAGAGAACATATAGAAAACGACATGTAAACGTGTTGTCTTACCTTACCGGTGTGGTGCCATGTTTGTTGTTTACCATTTAGCTAAGGTTGCAACTGGTCCCATTCCTTGCAATAGAGGTATTCCTCTTCTGTGGGCACTGGGGTACAGCATTCACAGGTAACGTTACACCACCGATCTCCAGAGCTAAATCCTTCCAGCAGCCATTCCTCCTCTGTCATCCTCTAACGTTACCTGTGTGCCTCTCTCGCTCTCCTCCTCCGTTCTTCAATTTCAAGAAGCTCTTCGTCAGTGTATTCTGGCTCAAATAAATAAGGGCGGCCATAAAACTCTGCAAAATCAAATTCCTCCTCCACAAAGTCGAAGTCTGGCAAAAAGTCAGCCATTATTCTATAAATCTTTCATAAAATATATGAATGAACCTTTCAGGCTACTGTCCAGTATGCCTTGCAGCTGCTGCGGCTTGTTCTCGCGAGATTTCAGGCACGACATGAGATCGCTGCTTGTTCTCGCGATATTTTGGCCGCGCTTTGGGAAGCAGAGATAAATGGTAAACACACCGTAAGGTAAGACAACAACTCTGAAGACCACCTAAATGTGGAATGTTAGTATATAGGCTTTCCACATCGAGAGGCGATGGCCGCCCTTATTTATTTGAGCCAGAATACACTGACAAAGAGCTTCGTGAAATTGAAGAATGGAGGAGGAGAGAGAGAGAGGCACAACAGGTAGAGGACGACAGAGGAGGAATGGCTGCTGGAAGGCTTTAGCTCTGGAGATTGGTGGTGTAACGTTACCTGTGAATGCTGTACCCCAATGCCCACAGAAGAGGAATACTTCTGTTGCAAGGAATGGGACCGGTTGCAGCCTTAGCTAAATGGTAAACAACAAACATTGCACCACACCGGTAAGGTAAGACAACACGTTTACATGTCGTTTTCTATATGTTCTCTGACATTTATCCTAATGATATGAGGCAGTCTTTGTGGAGAAAAAGCTTGTTTAGTGGACTAACTTTGCACTGGAAAGGATGCCTGTTCAATTAAGTTTTAACAGGTCTGACGCTACGGCTGTATCTAGGCTAACGGCTAACATGCTAACTATTATTTCTATGTCACTAGTGACTTGAAACAAATTTAGGACGATGGGAGACGGGTTGAAATAAACCGTAATTTCCCTTTAATCTACCTTGGTGGTAAAGTCACTTCAGTCTTCCCTCTGCATGAGAGCCTTGAGATCAGCTGGCGTCAGTACTGCCTCCCTCTTTCTCCTCTCTTGGCTCCTCCATCCATCTCTCAGCTCCTCCTCGATGCGCTCCCTCTTCCCGCAGCGCACGTCAATCCCCAGCTCCTCCAGCAGCGTAGTGGCACTTGCTAGTGTTACAAAGGTCTTCTCCACGGTGTTCAGCTTAATCCTCAATTGCGCTGGGTACAAGCACCTCGCCTGTATTTCTTTTTTTTTAAGCTGCTTGATAACTTCTTGGACTCTCATCCATTTCTGCTGTAAATCAGGGGAGTAATCCTGATCAAAGTAGATCAGCTTGCCTTGAAAGAGAACTGGCCCCTGGCTCCATGCTTGTTGTATGATCATGTCTTTTACCGCTGTGTCCAGGAATCTCACTATTATCGATCTCGGGGTGGCTGCTGAATCCTTAGGCTTGGCCACCAGTGAAAGATGTGCCCGTTCAATCCTAATGTCCATATCTGGTGATAGTTTGAATTCCTTCTGAAGTAGGTCTTTAACAAATCCCACCATACTGTATCTCTGCCCTCACTACCTTCTGGGATTTTAAAAATCCTAATATTTCATCTGAGTCTGTTTTGAAGATCATCACATTTTGCTTAGAGGTTTATATCACGGTGCAGCAGGTACATCAGTGCCCTATGGTGGCGCATCCCAGTGTCCTCGGCCATGCTGACTCTGTCCTCAAGATTTCCAGTTCTCTCTCCATGTTCCACCAACTGATTCTTTATGTCGGAAACAGTTTGTCCAGACAGTTAAGGGCCATTTTGGTGTGGTTGTGCCCGTCCTGATTTTCTTTTCTGAGTTTCCTCAGCTCTTCCAGTATTGTTGAATCTGATTGACACGTGTTACTGCCAGCTGTGTTTAGGTTGGCATGGCTCGGCATGTTCAGTTTGTTTTCTTCTTTGTTTCTCCTTTGTCCAGCTGAGGAACTCATATTTCATGGATACTCTTTTTACGTTTCAGCGTCAAAGTATTGTATTTGTCACTCTTTTCTATAGTTTTGTCGAGTAGAGCTCAGTTACTATGCCGCAAGCCTGTCCATGACGTCACAGGAAGTCCTCCAAAAGGCTGATTTATGGTTACAAAAATACGGAGGTGCACGTCAGACTACGGTGTAGGCTACAGCATAGTGTGCGCCTCTACGCAGAGCCTACACCAGACGTATAGTGTTGATTCCACTTTAGTCCCATTCCTAGCCCTGCCCATGTCAATACTTTTTTCATACTCTATTGTTTGAATTTCCAGGGTAGAGGCAAACCTCTGGGATTTAGTTCTTTGAGTGTTACACCACAGGCCTGCCGGGTCTGCCTCAATATGTGGGTGGTCAAAGACTGAACTTACCTTATTGTGGAGTCCACATAGCCCCACAAAGTGCTGAGCAGACTGTGAGCACCAACAACAGAAAGCATTCTCTGAATGACCCTGTAGCGAGGACAAAATGAAACAAAAAGCAAAGAATAGTGACTGATGAGAAAGTAGTTCCATCTCACACAGGCTCTGCACCATACTGGACTGATGGATGGGTAATAATCCCCTCAAACCACAAACACACATTCTCCCAATGAAACGTAGTCGGCCAATTGGGACCCGCTACCTGAATACGTGTGGACCAACGGTATATAAAGCAGCACACACTATGTCTGCTATCCTTAGTGATGGCGATTTGCCCACCTCATCATGCCTGGGTGCAGACCATGCAGAGAGCATTATTTAGCAGCCAAATTTAGACACCAGTAGTGGTGAGATCACTTCTGATGGTTTGACATAATGCTGCAATGACAGTAAGCCAGAGCTTAAGATCTATAACATCGAGATTCCCACTCCAACAGCCTACATGCTACTGCCGGTTCTGCTCATCCCTGCTGAGAATAGGACTTCATTTGTAGATGACGACAACATCTCTTCAGTGTCCAGTACCTCAGCATCTTGTGGGACTCTTGAGCCAACATCTCTCCACCAGCACTTCCCGCTGGTGTTGAGCTCCCCTTGCCCTTTTTTCAGGGTGAGAGGTCTCACAGAGAAACCCCCCGGTCTGTTTGTTACAGAAATACAATTTCAATAAACCACTCTGGTTATTATACTCTCTACAGATCTCACTCATGTTTCCACTGTTGTTTTCCTGAAATGAGTGATATCTCATGATATTTCAGAACCAGACTTCTGCTTAACGCGGCAATAACAAACAGACCTGATCAAGTGAAAAGTAAAGAGATACTATTCGATACAATTCAGACACTTACAATAACAATCTGAGCCTGTCTGTGTCAAAAATAACCACTTTTAATGGACATACAGTGATGGTGGGGCTGGGCGGTATTCGCAGTGACGGTAACATATGCTTTTGTGGTTACCGTGGTTACCCCCCGATAAATATTTTCGATCCTAAAGTCATCCTTTAATGCTTCTGAGGTGTTTATATTTCTGTTATTTGGTTTCACAAAGAACTCATAGAGGAATAACTGATTGTAAGAATTATTAGTAGGCTATTTTTAGACTGCAAATCAATAGCATCTTATGAATAATAACTAACATAGAGACAGGAAGAAAAGAAGGCGTCTTGTACAGTAATGATTTGGGGCTAAATATTGTCAGACACTTTTTAAATGGACTTAATGAACAAATGACAAAGTACATGGTGTCAGATAAAATGATGGCAGTTTTAACAGCTTTTTAAGGTGAGACACTACAGGTGAATGGGTAAAATTTTAAAATAATATCATCATGAAACTTCCTCAGTTGATTACTTACAATAGTATGAAAAAAAATGTATGTATGTATTGTAATGTATGTAATGTAAATTTTTAATGTTTAATTATGCAAATTAGTAGGGGTGTCCCCGACTAAGAATTTTCATAGTCGAATCTGATTTGACAGATTTTTCCTTTAGCCAACTAATCGTGAATCATGTTGTTTTCCCCCTCATTGATTAATGAGCTCATTTGCGTCAGTTTCCGCTCCAGAGAAAAGAGCTACAACACCCAAATACACAAATTTAATTCTTCTTGGCATAATAAGATAATAATAATAAAAGTAAAAGGGTTATCATTTTATCTTTACCTTCATTCCTTTCACTTCATCAAGGTATGACAGCCCTCCATTCTGAAACACCACCGTTCTGAAACAACGCTGTTCCAAACCACCCCCACTCCAAAACTGATTTTCAAGTCCATATCTTGTTTCCTGCATCAAACACTGCCACCTGCTCTCCGGCCGCACTCGCACAATTCTGAAATTCGTTGTACTACAAAAGCTTGAAATGAACGTTCAACTCATTGTTTTTTATTGAAAATATGTCACTGTCTTCATTTATTATGTATAATTTCTCTAGCAGCAAACACATTTAAAAGGAGACGCTTGTCAAGTGTTTTTACGTGCGCTGTCCGTGGTGCTGAAATCCCCACTCCCGGCCGCACTCCCGGCCTCACTCGCACAACACGTATCCCGTTCAAAATAGGCTATATATTATGAATTACTAGAAAACAAATACATTCTATGTCAAATCAAGATGTTCAGCAGCAGTGAGCACCCCCATATCGTCAGAATGGTACGGTCTTGTTTCATAACCACATTTTGCAACGATTCGACGGCGAGACTGGCAGTCGAATCAGACTTCTCCGAATCGAATCACCGAATCATCGACTATTCGGGGTCACCCCTACAAATTAGGCACTGTCTCATTAAATATGCACTTATTTGCATATATTTCCGTAAGATAAATCTGAACATCTGATAAAGCCAGGTGCAAAATTCTTTTTTCATTTTGTTTACATATAAGATGAAAAAAAATTACAGAGGCATTTAAGGATATCTGCTTTTATAACCTAGAAAATCAAAATATACTGTCCTTAAAAAAAAAATCGATTTTTGGGAATGAAAAGACTTGGTGTATGACAAAAAAAACTCATTTTGAGAAAACGGCATTCAAAGATTTAAATAATAACATAATACAAGTAGACAAAATGTAATAAAATAAACATCTAAATGTATAATTTGAATGTTTTCTTTATAGCAGTTTGAAAGAATACATATTCAAGGAGTAAACTACCCCAAAATCTCAAAATTGGCCACTGCATGAAAAATCAATGTTTTTGCCTGCCATGTCTTGCCTTAATCAGGGAAAATACCCTCACTAACGTGCATATGTGTTACCATGGTTATATGTATGCATTAGCATAAAAAGGTTAAGGTATATACGTGGCCTTTATCAGCATCAAATATGAGATTGCGGAAAGATTTTATAATCAACAGAAAGATTTATTATTGGTTTACCTGCTGCTAAAACCACATATCTGCTATCATAAAATCCTGTGGTTGGATCGTTTTCTTTAAAAATAGTCAAAAAACACGCACATCCCAAGGTTCATTTGGAGTGGGTGCTGGATACATATATATAAAAGTTATGAAAAACGGAGAAAAAGTACCACACACCAAGTCTCAGCTCCCATTGAAGGCTTTTTTATTTGATTGTTTTCTTTCACAACACAAACTCTTGTGCGGTACGTTTGTGTTGTGAAAGAAGAGTCCGTTTGGAAGCAGACCTAGGCCTACCTTTATGAGCGGTCTCGCTTCAGTTATTTGGTCTGTTCTAGGGTTCGATCAACAGCTTTCTAACCAGCCCAAACAAACCATAATAACCGCGCAAACAGACCTGATTACGTTTTAACCGAACCAAACAGGTTAGGTGTGAAGGCACCCACAGTAATGGACTAATTTGGCCTGGTGCAGGGCAGGCTTTGGTATCCATGGTTACTGTTAGGTTAGGTCAAGGGTAGCAGTCATCAATTTGAATTGAAGCCGATGATGCTCTTCAGTATCTAGTAGGCTCATAACTGTGACTTGCTCAAAGAAATTCATGCTGAAGTCCAGAGATGCATTTTATGGTGGTTTGTTAAACAGACAAGTGAGAATTTTTTTTTTTTTCCAGCAGCCCTGGTTAACATTTATTTAATGTCTTGTTAACGCCCTATGCATTCACCTCTGATGAAATGGAGTGGTAAAATGACCAGTTGGTGGTCGTATATATTGATAGGCTATAAACTTTAGCCAATATATAATATATTGGCTAAAGTTTATAGCCTATCAATTTAGCCTATGTTGTTACTATAAGTTTTCGACTATTTTTATGGAGGTAAATGTCGCCATCTGTTGGTGAATTTAATTCATAACAGTCAGCTTTTGAGGAGACAGAGAAATACTGATTGAAATGAGTGTAACTGATGCATTTGTTGACAGAGGGAACTGAACTTGAATGTAAAGTTTGAAATACCAGTCTGTTTGATCCTGAATTAGTATGTTTTCTTAGGACTGTAGTCTGTACATAATAATAACAACACAACAACAACAATAATGATGATAATAATAATAATAATAATAATAATCATAATAATAATAATGTAATACAGCCAAACTACTATATCTACAGTACATTTGTTAATGCTAATAAAGGTTGTCAAGTTAAATGGCATGTTGTTGTACGGTCATTTTGTACCTATGATACATTTGGGATGGGGGGGGGATCCAAATAAAATTTCGCTTGGTCAGGGGCAGCCCTGGATACATGATGCCATCCTCTGTAAAACATGCACTTTTAAACTTACAAGTGTAACATTACTCCGGTCAAAGAGGCAAAACTACTATCTAGTACTTCTCTAGATACAGGATGTGCAAACCTTGTTGTATCTGACAACACTTTATAGGCCTCAGGGCACCATGTTATTAACGTTCTGTGCTTACCTGAACTTTAAAGTAGAACCTGACTTTTGACAACTTAACTTTGACAGGTGTATGGCAAGAACATGCAGGTATTTTCCAGAAGATCACAGAAATGACTGAACGTCCCTTGCATTCCTGTACAGAATTACTAACAGAGCAGTAACTTTACACACTTACCCTCTGTTCGCTGTGCCTGCCTGCTCGGCCATACTCCAACACCTTGTCACGTGGAAAGAGAAACTGTGACATTGAGTGTGCGTTCGAAAATTGTTCTTCGGAGTACCGGGGCGCGCTCTGCCACAAACTGGACCCTCGTAAATTCGGAGTAGTTGAAATGTACCTTTCGGTTATTCAGAACAGCATAGTCTGAGTCCCCCTTTGGGCACTCTGTGTGGGGAGACGGAGCAGAAGAGCGACGAGGGCAGTGAATGTGTGATGAACTAAACTGTTCCTTGATTCATGAAGAAGTAGAACTTAACAACAGCGATGTCATTTTAGTGTAGAATGTTCGATCGATAACTAACGCACCAATATAACTGAAGACTGGTTTATTTGTTGTTTGAGATAACCGAGCGGTTCCTTTACATCTTAACGGCTTCTGCCTACGCCCATCGCAGCATCCCTGTAGACAAAACAAGCGCACCCGGCTACAGACTTGAGGCATTGCGGAAGTAGCTTTTCTAAACATTTCCTAAACGTCGCAGCTCAGCGGAGGACAGAACTGGTGAGTAGATTGGTAAATTATATTAATAGTTCTCTTTTGTCAATGAGTTGTGCACATTACACGCAACACAGATTGTTTTGTTTGCGCTGACAGCTTTTGGGAAACTAACATGTCAGCTACATCATGTGTTCTACGAATTAAAGCTGCAAGTAACTTAAATGTTGGAAATACTGTTGTTTGCTTTAAAGCTTGTCTTTCTCAGCAAAGGCATTTCCCACGTTCATTCAACTTTATATTACGGTCCAAAGTCATTGATAGCTTTAGATATACAAAAAGGTTTATACAGTTATTTAATATCGTATAGTTTATCAAGTAGGCTATATCCTAACCATAAACGTATGTCTGTTCATTGTAAGGAGTACATAATTATTGCAGACATAAACCTTGACTTAATTTGACTTATAGCATTAAAAAACGAGGTGTAATTATGATGGCTCAATTAAATGAGGTGTCCCAAGGCTCTGGCATTGTTCTTAATCGAAGTTGATCTAAGATCTTAGTCATTGATCTTAATTTTGTTTTTAATTGCATTTTTATTTATTTAAAAAAAAGCAGAAATATCCAAAGACAATGGGTAGGGACATCAAGGATAATGGGTCCTTCAAGACCATGATGGTCCTTTAAGATCACAAAGGTCCTTATGATCCATGACTTTGATTAATGGAAAGCCTCAGTATTTTTAAGGAGGGAGAAATATTCCACTTATTAATAAGCTATAGTCCATCCTGTATGTCTTAATACGGAGGGGAATAAAGCAAAATTTACCAGACAAGATACGCAGATAAATAAAAGATCACTTCAAAGCCAGGTAAGATTTAGATTTTTTCCAGTATTTTTCACATTTTTTAATAGCATGTCTCAGAGAAAAAGTCAGTTGTTACATAACATAAATTTCCTTATCTATTTCTATCCATTCATAAGTTGTTGGAAACTCTTTACTAGCCATTGCACATCTTTTATATGATGTGATGTGATGTGATGTGATCCCACAGACATGGTTTATTGGAAAACTGCCATGGATCATGAGATCAATTCCACCTTTGCTTTTGCTACTATGACAGGTTTAAATGTGTGCTGTAAAAAAGCTCTGTTCTGCAGAATCCAGCCGCAAGTGGAAAATCATCTTACAATCAAACTTAAACAATTGAATTTTTCCTTTTTCTTTGCTGGTTTTGTATGTGACCATGTGACACCAAAGTCTTTCATATTCTTTCTGAATAGTCCCTTCCAGAAAAAAATGTGTGAAATTAATTGTCATAACAAAAGATTGTGAACTTTAATTTGGAAATAGCTTGCACAGCCACGCAGGTGTTTCCAGTTCCAGCTGATTAGTTCTCTGCGTAGACTGCAGTTCTGCTATAGTGAGATTTATATGAGGTCAACAAACAATGTAATGGAATTGATAAAGGTGTAAGTTGTCTTAGGTTCCCAAATAAAAGGAGAGTGAGAGTCAAGCACTCTGTAGATATTCATTTTGTCCCAAGAAGTGGTCTGCTCAAGAAAAAAAAAGTGCTAATACCTGTGCAGGTGGACTATGGGTGTGCAGGTCCTGACAGGATACAGGATTATACCAGACTGTAAAATTAAGCATCAAGTTAGGTATGCAGTTGATGTTGCTATTGGCATATTGGTGTTTAGTATTTTCCCCTCCAGCAGCTATGTTATTCGTGCATCTATCACCCAGTCACACAGTTTAGAGAAGTGTAAGGATATCTTGACAGTACTGGTGAGACCCTGAATGACTCAGGGCAGGGGCATAGTGGAAGAGTGGAACTAAGCACCCTGGGCCCCAACCGAGGGAGGCCCTCAAAAACCCTTGAAGTTAAAGTTTGTGTTTCATCTTAAACTTAATTAAAAAATAATAATAATAGGACACACCATCTGTTTTATCTAAAACAATATTAGATTTCCAAGATGCTTATAAGTAGTGATGGGCAAATGAAGCTTCATGAAGCATTGAAGCTTTTCATCAAATTGGTTCACTCAAGGGCAAAGCTTCTTGATGCTTCATTTGCTCTACTAAGCCATCTACTGGACAAAAAAAGCTATTACAATTAGTAGTTTGTATATATACTTTTTAAACTGAATTGAATAAATCTACTCTCCATTATAGTAACAGTAAAGATATGATGCACCTATATTAATATAGTGTGTATTTTTAAAGATATATTTCTTGGGGGCATTTGGCCTTTAATGGACAGGACAGGGAAGCGTGGGGGGGGGGGGGGGGAGAGATGGGGGGATGACATGCAGCAAAGGGCCAGCAGGTTATTTTCCTGTCTTTTCGGTTTACATACTGAGGCTGCCTATGTTATAGCCTACGGTATGTGGGTCAATGATGTAATGCTGATTGTTTTGTTTCCATATGGTTTGGTTAAAGTAAGAGTTCAAATTTGAAAATAAATTTACAAATTAGTAGCATGACTTCTTTTTTGAAAACCTAATCTAACATTTCTGGTTTTAAACAATTTTGAGAGAATAATTGGCAGATGATGGCAAAAATGTCACTGTGGTGGAACTGTAAAAACTTTGTACCAAATAATTAAACCTGCTGAAAAAAGGTGAAATTCTCAATAAAACATCATATTAACTAGAGTAGATTCGATTCGATTCTATTTTGATCATACAAAATAAATAAAATAGTTTGGAATAATCTTTCATTAGAATAATTGAATTGTAAATAAAAGTAATGGAACCCCATTGTTTTGAATACTATAATTAATTTGGGGAATAATGTCAGTCAATCGACCTGCCGAAGTGTCAAGGTGGTGTAACTGCACAACCAGACATGTGACAGGATATTACAGAGAAGGACCCTGATGATGCTAACTGCTGCATGCCAGAGTTAGTAGCTCTCTTTAATTTTGTCAGTGTATGGTTGCAAGACTGGGCTAGCACCAGTAAAAGTAATTCAACTTAATTCTTCAAACACTCCACGATTTTAGTTAAGTCTTGTTGGTTTCACCCCAGCCACAGCCTATTAACAGTAATCCTCTCTCATGGTAGGTGTCAGAGTTAAATGGGGTTTTTTTTAGTTTTTTTTTTTTTTTTTACTTATGCCCAGGATATAATGAAGACGGTATTTACAGTAGCTTATGCTGAGAAAGCAGACTTTCTTAAACATATTCATACACTTCATTACCATTTTAACTAGTACAGATGCTTCTGCCTTCCCTAAAGTAAAAGAGGCATAACCCTTTCCAAGGAAGAGGAGTCCATCTATTGGCCTGTATTATCTAATAATAAAAAGACAGAAATATACATTGAACAACAATAAAGTTCATTTTAAATATCTAGATTGGAAGACAATATCTAAAAAAATATTAAACATTACAGCAATCTGCCACTTGAAAAACAGACAAAAGGGTGGAAAAAGTGGAATGACCCCCCACAACACTTAATGGATTTGTGTTTTCTTCATGCAGTACAACATGGAGAAGAATAAAGCTTTTATTTTGTAAAATCTTAGCTGCACTGACAGGGACATTGGTGGGTGTGACAGCTGAAGCTTGTTGTGCTGCTTTGCGACGCAGAACATAACTGAAGCCTTCAGACTCCCAAGTATATGGACATGTAGTCTCTAATCTAATTTAACTGTTTACAAGTCAGCCCTGATTCTGGAACAGAGCGTGTTCCTTCACAGACGCAGATCTGGGTGAGTGCTGGGCTGTCTCGATACACATCCAGAGAAACGGTCAGTGCCATGTCACCCTACCTACTTCTGCTGCAGCAGTCTGGCTTTTCAACTCTACCATTCCACTAATGCCTGTGTTACTAACACGTGGCCTCCTACTCCAGCCAGCCCCTCTCTTTCTGTGTCAGCTGTTTCAGTCAGTAAACTAAATCTGTTCTGTGTTCTCCAGGCCTCTGCCTTTACATGGCTGTGGAATGATTTTATTCACCCTGTACATTAGATAGAAGTAATGATTCCACTGGTAATGTTAAGATCACTCAATTGCACTTGTGTGCATACTTACATGGTCCAGCTCTTGACACAACCTTTGTAAACCTGTCAGATATCCATACTGGGGGATCAGGCCCACAACCCTGTTGAGTTTGTGCTGATTTGTTATTATTAGGGTTCAAGTCCTGAGGAGGCAGAACCCTGCTGACTTGGTGCCACACCACATGGTGGTGCTGTAATTGCTGCTCAGAAACATAGTTTTGGAAAGGCCATCCATGTCCCTCTCACATAAAGTCAGGTTGTTTTAAAATTTGGCACACATATGAAGCTCAGTGTGCTCTCTCTCTTATGAATTTTTGCTAATTTGCATAATAAAAACAGTAAAATGATTAGACAGGAGTGTTCAAACTTTTTTGAACAGGAGCCAAATTAAATAATGGAACAATTCCCTGGGACCAGCTGCTTCTTGCATCAAACGGGTTATATACAAAAAACAAGCTAACGAACAAAAAAAATCAATGAGATCAATCAACAAACGAGAAAAATGCAACTGTTTCATCTGTTAGTGAAAATGTGGTCAACATTCCACTACTCTTGAAAGCGGCAATCCTCACTATTCACTTCTTTTTTTTTGGCTATGTCCGCTACCTAGCAGTGAATGTCTGCTTTTAAGTAACCATTCAGTTTGCTTGTTTACCCCCTGCAAACATAGTTACTCTTGCAGAGATCCTAATCGACGCATGTCTACAAACTGTATGATAATCCTTTCATTATGAAGTAAGAATGCAAAGTGATCTTGCTTGATTAACCATTATTGTGTGGTGGTTCACATATAGTATATTTTGGAAGTCAAGTCGATTAAGCCTGCCATAATAGGTCTTTGCTTAATTTGCTGGAAGCTGGAATGAGACATGAAACTTGGCACCACAACTGGAAGAAATGTCCTAATGCTTCACATCAAATTTGATCTGAACCAGCCTGATGGTGGTGCTATATTTGCCAGCTTAAATGGCAAAACTATGACAGATCATGACCCTAACAACATGAGGCCTATTGACTTGAAATTTGACACACATCTACAACTCATTTGCCTTGTCAGAGCATATAGAGAAAACAACCAGGACATTTCAGTGTAGTATAAACTGTAGCTTAAAAACTGGATAAAAAATGTCAAATTATAACAGAGTCACAGACAAGCACATACCAACACCACACATGCACACTTCCTCCAAGAGCTGACCTGGATATGTGTGCCAAATTTCAAGTTTGTAACTAACTGTGTGAGGTGCGTGGCCTTTACAAAATCTTGTTTTTAGGCATTAATTATAGCGCCACCATGTAGCCAATTGGGTTCCTGTTTCTTGTGAAATATTTGCACATCATTTCCAGTCATTGGGCTGAGTTTAATGTTTCTAGCTCAGTCCAGCTCACAGCAATTTAAGCCGTGACAGCTGATTTCAGGTAACAATAATAATAACGTGTCCAAACTCAATAGGGTTCTGACCCTTTGGAGCTTGAACCATAACAATAATAATAATAATAATAACAATAATAATAATAATAATAATGATGACATTAATATTGTTGTTGTTGTTTTGTTATTGTTGTTCTTTTTCTTTTTTTCTTTTTTTTTTAAATGAACAACTTGTCCCAAACTCAATATGGTTCTGACCCTTTGGGGCTTGAACCCCAGTAAAATCCTCTATTACTCTCTGATGAGCGCAACAGGACAGTCTGTCCAGTAATAATTTCTCTCTCTCTTATAGTGCTCTGGACGATGCTGCAGGGGCCGTGCGCAGACAGTAGTGGCCCTAGGTTCACTCCTTTGGTGGTACTGGAGCTAGCCTCAGACACTAAGGAGGAAGCCATTGCATGGCTACTGGGGAGAATAAGAGACAACCAACAGAATGGAGGTTTGGAAGGTTGATTTAATTTGTGTCCCCTGTTTGCCATTCCATTCAGTGTTATTAACCCTGTCATTTCTCCCAGGTGCTGAGCTGCTGGTGGAGCAGCTGGGCCCTGGAGTCGAGGCTCAGGAGAAGGAAAACCCCAACATGTTCTTGGTGGGGGCTACACAGCAGAGGCTGCTGTCTGGTGCTGAGGATGTAGGCCTCTTCAAGGAGTTCAAGGATGGATCCATGAGAGGCTTTACCTATGCCACCAAACACAACTTCAAAGACTTTGAAGGTAAAGTCCAGGAGGCGGCTGCATGAAGGCTGTTTGTTTCTTGGAGTATTTCTGCAGTAGAATAAATTCTTGCTTAAAGCGGCTATAATCAATATTTTTACTATAACAATGTGTCAAATGACAATGTGAAAACAAAGGGCTAGTGTGAAGGGGTCGCTCGTAGTGTAAACCTACAGAAAGTTATCAGCTGACTCTGCAGCTCCCCTTGCTATACAGAGCTTTATGGCATTGCAGATCGTTGTTTATCTGTCAGGGCCACAACTTCACTGTTCTGATTCCCCCTTATTGCTCTCATAGCGCTGTTTTTAGCAGCACATGGCAGCTCTTTTCTCAGTAAAAAAGCTATAAAAAACCATTGTAAAAAAAAAAAAGTACTAAAAAAAAGCCACTGTACACTACCTGTTCAGCAACAAACAGCAGACACAGTTAGAGACTAGCCAGTGAACATAGCCTAAACTCATAACTATTGCCACATTTACGCCCAGCACTCACACTACTTCGGCATTTTTTGAATCCCTAAAACAGAGACCTTCGAAAATGCTGCTGATCCCATTTTAGTTTGAAAAGTCAGGGGTGCTTTTTTGTGTGGTTGGGTGGAAATTGAGGCTTTTGGGAACAATGATGCAGATACCTACGTTAGCTTCCTGATTGACTGATTGTTATCAATCATGATGTGTCAAGCCAAAACATTATAGCTAGGTCTACATACTTTTTGTAACTTCAACCTTCTTGTGTGGGTACTTCTTTCCCTTTGCCATGGCTTTCTGTGTTGATGGATAATGCACCCATTATCATGTATGGAGATTGTTTTTGTTAGGGATGTACCGATTTATCAGCTGAACATTGGTATCGGCTGATATTCATCTTACTGACTGCCACTGGCCTATCAGCAAATAAGATGACATTCACCAGTAGCCATGGCTGAAGTTGTATCACATCAGTTTTGCACAGGCTACAAAGCAGGGCTCCAGAGGGCCACAAGCTTAAAGCCACAGTGTGTAGGAATTTCTCCCATCTAACGTTGAAATCATATATTGTATTCAAACAGATGGCGCACTCTAGCGCCTCACTGTTTCAAACACGTATTGCAACAACTGTAGCCGCTGTGTACCAAAAAGCTATGATAACACTGATGAAACCATGTCATCCGATACTACATGGAGTATTCATGTATTCATTCAGGCTCCTACACAGACACATGCGACGCGAGTTGACAAACCCCCTCCTCACCATGCTGGCTGTGTTTACAACGTAGGACTGTTGGGGCAGATGTAAACTGAAACAAACCAATCACGTCTTGTCCTTTGACAACTGACAAGTGGCTCAACCTCACACACCTCATCCCTCTCCTCGCATTACTGCGCCGCTAACAGCTGTTAGTGGCCAGCGGCACTACTGCCGCATAACAAAGTCCCACTCTTTGAGCATAATGCAGGATCATGTATTATGCAGCATCATGGGAGACGGAATCCTCGTCGCCAATAAAGTGCAAAAGGGAATCAAAAAGGCAGCGTGACCGGCGAATTAAAAAAACAAGGGTCAGCATTGGGGTTGCCTTTCCCAGGTGGACAGAGCTGCTGAAGGAGAAAGGTAATACAATCACAGGCCAGCGCTAACAGCGGCTAACAGCAGCTAACAGCGGTGCAGTGATGCGAGGAGAGGGATGAGACTGTTAGCGACTGGCCGCTAACAGCGGCTAACAGCCAACAGCGGCGCTGGCCTGTGATTGCATTACCATTCTCCCTCAGCAGCTCTCTCTACCTGGGAAAGGCTACCCCGATGTGGGCCTTTGTCTTTTTAATTGGCCAGTCACGCTGCCTTTTCTATTCCCTTTTGCGCTTTCTTGGCGACAAGGCTTCCGTCTCCCATGATGCTGCATATGCATGATCCTGCATTATGCTCAAAGAGTGGGACTTTGTTTCAAATTTGCCAGGGTAGTAGCGAAGCGCCTCTTGCTCCTCTCCTTCGGCTCCTCAGTCACGCAGTGCTGGCCTGGCTCTCAAAGAAAACGCAGAAGGCGGTGCTGTATGTCCCTTGCTGGCGGGTGTTATCTCAAGATGGCGAAACGTAATGGAACCCCACAGACGACTTACCCGCACAATGTACAAACAAATCCGAAATTCTCCTTTTACGAGAATAAGTCAGATTATTGGTGGAGGTAATAGTACACCAGTGATGACATATTTATGAATGCAGACATCAGTTTTTGCCAATAAACAACTGAAAATGTTACACAATGTCCCTTTAAATAAATTAGCAGGTTCAAGGAAAATATACTGACTGTTTGGAAAACGGTCTTTGTGATCTCAGTGCTGTGTGACGAGATGGTAAGTAGCTGCCGGCGTCTAATCCTCACTGGGAAAACATTTTTGGGACCACTTCCACTTTAGTATTCAGGCTGAAAGGATGCAGTAAATTCACTATAGTCACGTCAGAGGATGTAACCTATTGTTTCCCTGACAATGCTATATTGTAAACAACGAATCTGAATTAAAATTGGCAGGAGGACAGTTAGTTAGCATTAGCTCTGCGCAGCCGCTGGGCGCAAATAACAGAAGAATGAAACCTTTGTTGCTCCAAAGAGGAAATTGCTTTGCACAATTGAGGGTAAATGAGTATCAAAAAACATCAACAACAGCAACACATAACATATAAACAAATATCATTAAAAAAAACATCAGGAATCAATCATCATAAAAAAAGCATTAGCATTGGGAGATTGATAAAGGTTCAACCCCCCTACCCCCAGGCTCATTAAGTTCAAGAAGTGCCGGTTCCATAAGTATCCTCAGTTGTAACAGTACTAGACAGACAAGGCACACACAACTTACTATATGAATATACACATGGAGATAAGTTCAGTAGAGCTGAAATCATTATCTGATTAACCGATTAGCTGATCAACAGAAATTTAATTGGGTCCTATTTTAATAAGAAAAGGCAGCAGAGGAGACACCCGCACACCAATGTCACTGGGCTAGAAAGCCACAAAAAGGTCCACAGGCTGAGATCATTGCAAAAAATGGTCTATTTAAGACACTTGTGCACAAAAAGGTGCTCAAAGTGCAAAAAAAGGATAAAGAAAGAGTAAAAACAGCAGCAAACGTTTCAGTCCTTGAATATCATCAGTGCTACTGACATGACTGTTTCAAAGAACAGATAGAGACACAGACAGCTGGTGCCAAAAATTAGATGAGATCAACTGTGGACCAAAAGCATGTCTACCAAACCACAATGACCTGTCATATGAGTACTACACTATTCACAACATCTTCAAACACCAATATATAATAGCAGGACATAATAATATACAAATGTACAAAAACACAACCATACACAGAAAGACAGAAAAGAAAGGGAAAAATATGACAAAGCATTTCCCACCAGGCCATGCTGGTACATGCAAATGCCTTTAAAGAAAGAAGACATATGTAGTGTTTCATTTAGGCCTGGCAGCTCTTCAGTTTTGAGAAGAGAGATCCATCTACTTTCACACTGAGTAAATTTTGTTCCCAGATCTGAATGTCTGCAGATGAACTACATCAGTGCCACAGAAAGTGCAGTGGCTGGATATTTGGCCTCCTGGAAGTGTTTAGTTACAGGACATTTTGGATCAGCTCTGTGAATAGAGCTTCTATGCTTGTTGATTCTGGTCCTGAGTTTGCATCTGGGTTTGCCAATATATTGCAGACCACAGGGACATTAAAGAAGGTAAATGACATTAGTGGAACAACTAATGAATTTCTAAATCTTGTTTTTTGTTTTTTGTTTTTTTTTGGTGATATGACTAACAAAAGTATTGTCTGTCTTGTTGTTTCGGCAGGAGGTGCAATGATGGATGGCCCAATGGGCTTCATTTCCATGGTGTCTTGCCAAAACAAACCAAAAAAAAAAGAGTCATATCACCAAAAAAGCAACATGATAGTCAAGGACTGAAACGTTTGCTGCTGTTTTTACTTAGTCTTTATCATATTTTGCACTTTGAGTACCTTTTTTGTGCACAGATGGCCTAAATAAATAGACTGTTTTTGCAGTGATCTCAGCCTGTAGACATGGTGGCTTCCTAGCCCAGTTACATTGTTGTGTGGTTGTCTCCTCTGCAGTATTTTCTAGTTTGTTTATTGCACTGATGCACTAAAGGCAAACTTTTTTGTTGCCCCAAGTAGGTGCAGTTTCACAGCAGCCCTAAAACTATTTTGATAATCCATTAATTGTTACGTTATTTTCTAGCAATAATTTGCTGCTTTTCTCTGTTTTAAAATACTGTTTTTAGAAATAATGATTAATTGATTAGTGGTGAATAACCTGCAGATAAATCAATAATGCAAAGTAGAGTGAAAAGTAGTTAAGGTAAAGGTAATGAGTGCGGTTTGAACAGCTGTATTAGAACCAGCATTTAGGTGATTTCCAATCATCACAACTCCTCTTGCAAGGTGCTCTAAAATCAAAAGAGCTGGAAAATGAATTGTACTGTCAGAACAGACTGCAGTCATTGTAGCTGACACACTGCAGTTTGAAATCTCTGACCTCACCGTCACATTCTCTGAGATGTTTAACGTGCCTCTTCTGTGAATGTCACAGTGCTGTTTGTCACTGATCTGCTCTGTCTCTCCAGGGGACGGGGACTCCTTCCTCAGCATGGCTGAGTGTCAGTACATTATTAAACATGAGCTAGACACATTACGGGCCAAAGATGAGACTCATGTACCAGGACACCCCCAGGCCAAGCTCTACCCTGGGAAATCTATCAGTGAGTGTCCATCTACCTCTCATTCTCTCACTTTGAAATTCAGATAGGCTTCAGGTATTTAACACACCGGATTAAACAGAGGAAGAGAAGCAATTTCTGAATTGCTTTCCCAGAAATTTTACTGTATTATGGTTTATACAGTATGGATATGTCAGCATAAAGCTGTGCAATATGAGTATTGTGGCAGTTGAATTAGTGCACCAATTATTGCACATTAAAAAAAGTATTAATAATTATACCATAAGTCGTTATTGCACAGTAGAATCATAATAGATAATTATGAATTATAAATGCAGATTTAATAAAAGCAACCAAACTGCATGAAATTAATGAACAGGTTCCATAAACTGTCAGAAGTGAATTGTGAATATGAGCATAATATGAATTAATATGAAGTGTGTAAGCTCGTAAAAGTAGATTTTTTTATTTCTGTAAAATAATCAAGACCTGTTTTTACCCCACCCCTTAAAAAATTGAAATTAACAAACATTAAGAACCAGAATTAATAAACAGGACTGCTAACAGAATAATTAAAATCTAAACAATACCCAACCCTAGTTCCTTGTAGGAGTTTAATGTTGCCTCAGAGGCACTGCTGAATGCAGTCTGTCTCTGTGCCTCCCTTTCCGTCTTTGTCTCTCTCACACTCTCTGTGGCAACAGTATGGAAACAATAAATATGCAAATGCAGTGAAATACTCCAAAGTGAGATAAGGAAGCAATGAACTTGCAGTGGAGATAGGATGCCTCTATTCAGCGCCTTTATTTGATGAATTGTGTTAAAGCAGAATGTAATCAGTTTGACAAATGATGCACTCAAGAAATGGCAGATGAAATGATAGAGCTTTCATGTACTTGTATATAGTCACTATGTATTAGACAATAGAAATGATTGCCATAGACAGTGCACTGTGTAGAGTGGGCTGCCTCACAGCTATTGTTTGCCTGCCCTTTTTTTACAGACTGAAGCTGGATGGTGTTTTTGGTTGAGAAAGTGAGTTCAGACAAACAAAAGTCAGGAATAAAAATGCAACAAGGCTTTTTTTGTTGTTACTCAAAAGTCAGTGAAACGTCTTCTGAATAATTTAAACTTTGAGCAAATAAAGCTTCACCCAGCTACCTATACACAACATTTTCATCCATCATGAAGTGAGTTGGTGGCATAAAAATATCATGAAAAATTATTTACATCTTAGTTCGCAGACTGCAGTCCAAGGGGATTCTGATCCAAGTTTTTCCTCTCCACGACAAGGAGGAACTGAAGAGGCTGTCTTTTTCTTGGTACAAAAAGGTGAAGTTGGCCTATCAGCCTCTTGGTAAGTAGAAGTACCAATTATCTCTCATCATCTTTCCTGTGAAAATCTTATGAAATAAGCACACATAATCACGTTGTTAATAGATGTAGAGAGGGAAACTCCTCAAAAGAGGCGCAGTTGTATACCTTTCACTGCTACTGTACATGACAATTACTACATGGTGATTGCTACATGATGCTCATTTTGCCTTCCAGCTCAGTTGTTCTCAGTCTTTATAAATGTGTTTTTACTCTTTTATTATTAACATGTAATTATTTTCCTCTCTCATGTTTGTGATTGACTTGCACATTCTCATGTTTTTAGCTACTACTTTCTTCCCCATTCTTTATCCCCAGATGACATCAGACACTACTATGGTGAGGGTCAGGCCCTCTACTTTGGCTTCCTGGAGTACTTTACCTTTGCCCTGGTACCTATGGCTCTCATTGGAGTGCCTTACTATCTGTTTGACTGGGAGGACTACGACAAATATGTCATCTTTGCTGGGTTCAATTTGGTCTGGTGCACTGTTATCTTGGAGGTATGGACAGTGATTGTATCTACATTTGAGCCACAGTCACTCGGTCACCTGAAGTGGAATTACAGTCCAAAGGGCAGTGTCCACCAAAGCGTTTTTCCTGAGGCCAGCGTATTTTTTTAAATACTTACACAGTGCTGCAAACACCGGCAGCACGATGAGGCACTGGGCATGAATTCTGCACTGAGGGCTGACAGTTGGACTTTTTTTTTTTCTGCGCACATCGCTGTCAGCCATTCGGTCACATTTGAGGAGGGACATATACTGTGAAGACAAACCATCACATCTCACATGTACAAGTGCTGAACAACAACAATGGAGGCAAAATTTGCGAAAATGTATATATAGCTATATATATATTAGCTACATCATACAACTAAATCCTCTCTCCCTGATGCTTCAGCCTTCACCTTATCCAAAGCAAATGCTCTGCCTTGTGCCGACATGTTTACTTCCACAGATATTCCATATCATAGTAACCAGACGCAACCAAAGTGTCTTAGCTAAAAAGATGCTGCACCTCCAAAATGCTCTCAGGCGCTCCCAGCAGGGTGTTTCCTGAGGAGCGCCTGGCGTTCTCAGCTGGAAGAAAATGCCTTGGTGGACACAGGGCCCAAGGCACTATTAAAGAAATGGAAGAAATGAATAAAGTGATAATGACAAGAGTATAATACACTATAGCTTGAATTAATGACAGTCTAGTGAAAGCTGACTAACAGATGAGCTAAACCTTTTCCTTCACCAGTTTTGGAAGCGTTGCAGTGCCTCACTAGCCTACCGCTGGGGCACACTGAGCAGGAAAAGGGCCTTTGAAGAACCTCGGCCAGGTTTCCATGGCGTCCTCGGGTTCAACCCTGTAACTGGCCGTGAGGAGCCTCTCTACCCCAATGTCAAAAGGCAACTGCGTATCTACCTTGTGTCCCTGCCCTTTGTCCTGTTCTGCCTTTACCTGTCCCTCACCATCATGATGATCTACTTTCTAATGGAGGGGTGGGCGCTGTCAGTCCATGATGAGGACCCCACATTCTGGACAGGAATACTGTTGTACATCCCCAGTATTATCTATGCTGTGGTCATAGAGATTATGAACCTCATCTATAGATATGCTGCCGAGTTCCTCACCGAGTGGGGTGAGTAGTGGTGATGAGTGGTTTTATGTACAATACACATACATGCACTAAATCTATTGTTTTTTTTAGGAAGAGTCTTAGTATAGAAACAATAACTAGAAAATGTATTTCTTACAGAAAATGTGTGTGAATGCTGACAGCTAAAATGATTTCAGAAGCATTTCTGAAAATGCAGAAATAAAATGAAGTGTCTGCAAGATATGAAAGAACTGACAGCTGATCTGCATTACCTAAAACAAAAAGCTAAGAGCTAAAATATAGTGTGAGAAAAGCTAAAAACTGAAAACACTGAAAGAAGATATGCTCTGTATTTTTAAAAGCATTAAAAATAAAAAAAAATGAAATTGAAAGGTTCCTCCAACTATGCAGAAGTAATAGTAGGCTATAATAATAAACTTTATTTATATAGCACCTTTCAAAACACAGTTACAAAGTGCTGTACAATAAAACTAAACACAATTAAAACACAACAGGAATGAAACAAATAACATGTCATAAAATGTCAACTAGTAAAAGATAAAATAAGGCCAAAGTTAAATTCAAGATAATGAAAGGTCATTAAAGTCAGTAAGATCACAATAACATAGACAGACAGCTCAGATAAAGTCAGGATATGCTTTCCAAAAGAAGTATGTTTTTAGGAGAGACGAAGCCAATGACTCAGGCAGCCTTACATCCTCAGGCAGGTGATTCAGGAGCCTCGGGGCCCTGGGGGCAAGAGAAGAGCCTTATAAGTAAATAATAAGTTTTTAAAATCAATCCTAAAACAAACAGGGAGCCAATAGCCCCTTATACACTGTCAGGTTTTCCACGAATGTTGGGCCGTTTTGCCAGCAAGCTGCGAGCATTTAGACACACAGAGCCGGATTGGCGAGTTGATCCGAGGTGCCCAATTTTCCTCCTGGTAGGGTACTCATATTGGCAGAACCCTTTTAGTTTAAAAAGACTGAGGCGGGCTTCTGCAATGGGAGGGGCTGTTGATGACGCCGCACGTGCGAACCACTGGCGGTGGATAAACAGGAAACAGCTGATAGCAGGAATTAGCAAGCAGCTAGTAGCAAGAGGGAAAAGCAAACCTAACAGACACTGTAAAGATGAGCAACTGGAGAGACAAGGAATTGCGCGCCCTCCTTGCCCTCACAAAGGAAGAGTCCATTAACCGTCAGATGACGGGAACGGTGAGGAACGGGCAGGCCTACTTACGAGAGAATTGCCGAAGGACTGACCAGCCGCGGCTTCCCTCCCACGTCACTGTTTACGTCACACACTGAGCAACACGTTTTATTTGCTCACGCCCCCCATTGCACCGAAAAAGGCGCATTCTCTATAATCAAAAGTATGTAGGTGGCATTTTGCCGCACTCCCCAATTTTGTTTTTATACTGCCAATTCCTGTTTTAAAAGGGCTAATGTTAAGCGGCTAAAACTGGTGTGATGTGGTCGTGCTTCTTGGTTTTGGTTAAGAGCCTTGCGGCTGAGGTCTGTACAATCTGAAGTCGTTGAAAGGTTTTTTGAATAAGACATGAATAAAGGCTGTTGCAAAAATCAAGACATGAAGAGATAAGAGCATGTATTACAGTTTCTGTATCTCTAAGAGTTAAAATAGATTTTATTCTAGCAATGTTTCTGAGGTGATAAAAGCATGATTGGACAAGTTTAGTGACATGTTATTCAAAACATAAATTACTATCAAATATGACACCAAGATTTTTTGCAACAGGCATTATGTGTTGTGACAGGTGACCAATAGATGGCAGTATTTGTTTTGTGATATGCTGTGACCCAATTACAAGAATTTCTATTTTATTAGCATTGAGCTGAAGAAAATTTAGCAACATCCAATTTTTTATATCACACAGACAGTCCTGTAGAGAGCACAGCATGCTGAGGTCAGTGGGTTTAACAGGGAGGTACAGCTGAGTGTCATTTGCATAACAGTGGAAAGAAACACCATGTCAACGGATGACATCACCCAAGGGGAGCATGTATAATTAAAAAAGAATAGGACCAAGGATTGACCCCTGAGGCACACCGTACTTAATATGGGACATTGATGACATGACATTATGAATGGACACACAAAACTTCCTGTCTGACAAGAAGGGCTGTCTCAGTGCTGTGATGTTAGCGGAAAGATTGAAACTTGTCAAAAATGCAGTTATTGTGCACAGCAGCAAGCAGCTGCTTTGATACAATTTTTTCAAAAATCTTAGAAATGAAAGGCAGTTTAGAGATTAGAGATTTAGCGATAGTTTTCTGAGATGGTGTGATCCAGCCCAGGTTTTTTAAGGACTGGTTGGACGCAAGCAGTCTTAAAGTAATCTGGGACACAACCAGTAGACAGTGAACTTTTAACAATGGAAAGCAAATGGGGCCCAATACAATCAGTCACTTCAAATAAAAAAAATGTTGGAATTATGTCAAGGGGGTGGTCGAGACTTTCATGTGTGACATGGTTTCTAGGAGCTCTGGCAGAGTAAAAGGGGATTTATGTGAGGTTCGGCTTGAAAAGCAGTGGTGTGAATATTGGCATAGAGCGGCGAGCCTTGGGACAGGACGAGGCAGTGGCTGTGAGCTTTGGGACCCATGGGGTGGCAGGGGAGGTGAAAGAGGAGGCCGGGAAACCGCAGTCAGAGGAGGGAAGTCATGAAGGTCAAGGATGTCATATTTATTCTGGAGCTGGATGTTATTGTGAGGGGGAACATGAGGAGGGTGCCTGCCTTTCCCAGAGCGAGCATTAACCAGAGACCAGGGTTCTTGATAAGATAAGATAAGATAAGATAAGATAAGATACTCCTTTATTGATCCCACAATTGAGAAATTCTGGTGTTACAGCAGTCAAGCAGAGTCAGATTAAAGATTTCAATATTTAAAAACTTAAAAACTAGGCATGCAAAAAATACGAGACACAGTGATAAATAATAATAATAATAATAATAATAATAATAATAATGAGAAGTGGATAATAATGTACAGTGAATAAAAATTAGCAACTAGCAGTGGATTAAAGAGAGCATATCTAGTCTAAGTGATTGTATGTGCAAAAAACAACAACAAGGGGGACAGTAATGCTTATGATGGTGTTTATAAAGTGTCCATAAAGTGTCCATATTGTCCCTAAAGTGTCCATGGTGCAGTTTATTGTGAGCAGTGCTGGTTGTGTAGTCTGACAGCAGCAGGCAGGAAGGATCTGCGATAGCGTTCCTTCATACAGTTTTGGTGAATCAGTCTATCGCTGAAGGAGCTCTCCAGAGCTTTTATCTCCTCCTGCAGGGGGTGGGAGTCATTAGTCCTCAGAGATGACAGCTTGGCTGTCGTCCTCCTTTCTCCCACCACCTGCACAGAGTCCAGAGAGCATCCCAGGACAGAGCTGGCCCTCTTGATCAGCTTGTCCAGTTTCTTCCTATCTGCAGCTGAGACGCTGCTGCCCCAGTAGACCACTCCGTAAAAGATGGCTGATGCCACCTCAGTGTCAAAGAAGGTCTTCAGGAGCGCCCCCTGCACTCCAAAAGACCTGAGCTGCCTCAGCAGGTAGAGTCTGCTTTGGCCTTTCCTGTACAGTGCTGTTATGTGATCAGTCCAGTCCAGTTTATTGTTAAGATGAACACCCAGGTACTTATAAGATGTCACCATCTCAATGTCTTTTCCCTGGATGGGGAGGAGTCTGCACCTGCAGTAATCCACCACCAGCTCTTTGGTTTTCCCCGCGTTGATCTGAAGGTGGTTCCTCTGGCACCAGTCCACGAAGTCCTGGTTCAGTTCTCTGTACTCCCTGTCGTCCCCATCTGTGATGAGGCCGACTATGGCAGAGTCTTGGGCACAGGTACCACGCAGGGTGTCTTCCACAGCTGTGGTACTCTCCCCAGCCTCAGGCTCAGACTGAAGATGGTTTCAGCTATCCCGCACAGTTGGTCTGCGCAGGAGCCTGGAGCGGATGCCATCTGGACCCGCAGCCTTCCTCGTCTTTATCCTCCTCAGCTGATCTCTCACCTGACATGTAGTGAAGGACAAGCTGGAGCAGGGGGGCTGTGTGCTGGGGGTTTGAGGTGATGAGGTGGGGGGTGGTGAGATGTCCAGGGGAGCTGGGGTGGGAGAGGCGTTGAAGTAGTTTGCCAGGAGTGTAGGTGGGAGGGAGGTGAAGGTGAGGATGTAGTTGGGTTGCAGCAGTCATGTCTGGGCCGGGGGAGGGGCAGACTGATCAAATCTATTGAAGAACAGATTCAGATCATTCACCCACTTCTGGTCACCTCTGGCCTGGGAGTCTGGTTGTTTTTGTCCTGAGATGGTTTTCAGACCTCTCCAGGCTCCGCTGACGTCGCTCTGCTGCAGCTGTTCCTCCATCTTCTTTTTATATTCTTCCTTTCCCTGTTTGATGTTTCTCCGTAGCTTCTTCTGCATGGCCTTCAGCTCCTCCTTGGTTCCAGAGTTAAAAACTCTCCACTTCTCCTTCAGGAGAGCTTTTATATCTGGAGTAATCCAGGGTTTGGTGTTGGAGAAGCAGCGTACAGTCCTGGTGGGTACGGTGCTTTCCACACAGAATAATATAGTCCGTAATACATGATGTCAGACTGTCAGTGTCCTCCCCATGGAAATTGCTGAGTACCTCCCACACAGTGGCCTCGAAACAGTCTTTCAGGGCCTCCTCGGCCTCCTCAGACCACCTCTTCACAGTGCAGGTGGTTGCTGGTTCTCTCTGCACCAGAGGTCTGTAGACAGGCAGAAGATGAACCAGGTTGTGATCAGCTTTTCCCGGGGGGTGGGGGGGGCAGGGGGGATGAGTGGTATGCCTCCTTGGTGTTGGCATAAAATAAATCCAGGGAGATGATGGGATGGAGTAGAGCTGGCCAGGGCTTTAGGTCTAGCCCCGAGCTGTGTCCAGGAGTCACAGGGGACAGCAACCAGAGGTGGGGCAGCAGCAGTGGGACAGTGAGTGGTGACAGGCTCCGCTGGAGAGGCAGCTTCAACAGCAGGGCAGGGCACAGTGGCATCAAGCTCATGGGCACCGGTTGTCTCAGTTTGTGCTAGACCGAAGATGATGGTGTGGACAAGGAGGGCACGGGAACTTACATGCAGGGGCTCCGACATGGAGCCCACAGCGTTGATTGAGTTTTAGCAGATGGGTCAGAAGCGATCAGCAAACAGCACAAACAGGCAGCGGGACTTACCGACACCAAGTGGACCTGCTAAGGAGAATATGTTTCAGTTAGCAGCTGGTTGGTGGCGTCTTGACATCCGTGTAGATAGCTAGCCCGCAATGCTAAAAACAAACCGGGTTGTGCTTGCCTCTGCAGGCTGTTCAGTCCATGAAACGTGAAATAAAATTAAATCCGGGCAGGCGATGGTTAAAATCTTCTGCCTCGACAGAGCATATAGGTAAAACCACTGGGACAGAAAAGTGTAGAGTAAAATGTGTCTCAAAAACAGATATAAAACGACAGATTGTGACAGCGCTTCACACAAGCACATACAAAATGCCACGCATGAGCACGGGAGCGTAGAAGTTGATGAAAAAATGCACAGGCAAGGTATAGTTACTTTGTGACAAAGTGTGTGTCAAATGGAGTAGATAGAAGATTAGAAGATATTTTTCAATTTACTGCAACTATAGAAAATTTCAAAAAGCTTAAAATTTGATCAAATGACAACCTAGGGGCTTTTATTTTGAAAATTCTGTTCTGAAAATAACGTAAAACATATACTCGGATAATACAAAAACTGGAAAAGATATTAAAAAAGCTGAATTATGATTAAATACTTAAAAGTTTTGTGGCCTGTTTTAAGTTTAAATGAAGTCTTTAGCTTTAAGTATACGGAAGCAGTAGCGTTTTAAAATTGAGTAGGTTCAAGATGATTTGATGATGAAGATTCTCTCCATTGGTTTACATTGTTTAAAAATGTTAACAGAATCTTAATATTTTAAAAGGCATAAGAAGTAAAAACAAGAAAAGATGTAGTACCTATGCCCTTAAAGAGCTGAACATTTTGTTGTGTGAATGGTTTCTGTAGCTCGGAGAAGTAGCAAAGTAGTGACCTGCCAAAAGACTTATGGAATATGGAATAAGAATACCTTGAAAATGCATTTCCTGAAGAAAATGTGTGTGAGTGCTGACAGCTGAAATGAATTTAAATACATTGCTGAAAATACAGGAATATAAAACAAATTGCCTGACAGATCTGAAAATCTGTCAGATTGGAAGTTTTAACTGCATTACCTAAAGTTAAACTGTAATACTGGCAAAGGCAGATGTTGAAATTAACTGAAAAGGCTGAAAGAGGGAATACTTAACACTTTAAAAAGTAGAAAAAGTTGAATACAACCATAGATGTACTTCAAGAACTTAACATTTAGACTTAACATAGTTTCTGTTGCTGGGAGTATGTAGAAGTAGTAGTGGATCAAAAAATGCACAGCAGAAGTATAATTACTTTGTGATCTGTTGAAAACTTAGATGAAATATCTAGATAACAGTTTGGAGAGACGTAGAATTTCTAACTGAAGAAGATTAAAGATTAGAATTTTTTTTTTTTCAAGACAAAAAAAAAGCTTTAAGCTTGATCATATTTTGAGCTTTTACACTGAGCAAAAATTTAAACACAACACTTGTTTTTGCTTTAAGTTTTTCACAGGTTTAAGTTTAAGACCTAAGACTTTTGTTCATGCACTCAATAGATTTATTTCTGTCAGAACTGGGTCCTAAATATGTTCAAATCCATGTTAGTGAGCATTTCTCCTTTTCCAAGATAATCCATCCACCTGACAGGTGTGACATATCAAGATGCTGATTAAACAGCATCATTACTACACAGGTGTGTCTTGAGATTGTTACAAGAGAAGGACACTCTAAAATGTGCAGTTTGATCACACAACACAATGGCACAGATGTTGCAGGTTTTGAGGGAGCGTGTCATTGGAATGTCCACCAGAGCTGTTGGACCTGAACTGAATGCTCATTTCACTACCATATGACCTCTCCAATTCCTTTACTATAAATTTAGCAGTACATCTGATGGCCTCATGGTTCTGAATCAGCATTCACACTACATTTCATTTTGTATATGATTAAATAAAAAACAGCAGATAAATTGATAAATAAAAACAATGTTGAGTTGCTGCCCTAAATCAAAGGTATATTTCAACCTTGTGACATGCTTTTACATTTCTTGAGCAGTGTCCAAGACAAGTACAGTTACAGCAAGCTTTTTTCCTGTCTGTAAGTGACTCAATCTTAGCTAAAATGACATAAGTCAAAAATACTGTATTTATCTCTGCCATGCGACCTCATTTGATAGATATTTACAAAGGAACCGATAAATCTTTATAGATGCACCACCATGGTACAATTCCAGTAGGGTCGAGCACAGAATGTGCTTGACGTATCTCTCCTGTTAGTTTTGTCATTTTGGTTGTACCTGATTTGGGGGGTCAAAGTCAGAGTGGAACTACTCATCCTCTAAAAACTGTTCTTAAGGTATGTACATTTGGGCTTGGGGACAGAAACCCTGTGGGCATGGAGTTTAAAAGACATGGACAGTGAAATTAACAGTACTATTAAGTTGCATTATAGGAAATGTAGGATTCACTGTGGATTCACTCCAAAAGGCATGAAGTTAAAGATGAAACATGGTTTTCAGCAAGATTTGTGCAGTATATTTGTTTTGTACAAGTTTAGAATGAGAAAAGGAAAGGAGCACCATGCAAACGTTTGGGCACCCCAAGACATATGAGCTCTCAGACAACTTTTACCAGAGTCTCAGACCATAATAGGCTTGTTAGGGCTTGTCAGGGCTTTGGCTTCACAGTCATTGTTAGGTAAAGCCAGGTGATGCAAATTTCAAAGCTTTATAAATACTCCTGAAACCTTGTTCCAACAATCAGCAGCCATGGGCTCCTCTAAACAGCTGCCTAGCACTCTGAGAACTAAAATAACTGATGCCCACAAAGCTGGAGAATGCTGTAAGAAGATAGCAAAGTGTTTTAGGTAGCTGTTTCCTCAGTTCGTAATGTAATTAAGAAATGGCAGTTAACAGGAACTGTGGAGGTCAAGTTGAGGTCTGGAAGACCAAGAAAACTTTTGAGAGAGCTACTCGTAGGATTGTTCAGGCAAATCAGAGCCCTGTTTGACTGCAAACAGGGCTCTGTGTCCTCACCTATGTCCTCACCACAAAATTCACGTAGAAAAAAAATACATCTTAACAAGCCTGAACCTTTTTTGAAACAAGTCCTGTGGACTGATGAAGTTAGAATAGAACTTTTGGACACATTGAGCAAAGGTATGATTGGAGAAAAAAGAGTGCAGAGTTTCATGAAAAGAACATCTGTCCAACTGTTAAACATGGAGGTGATTCGGTGATGCTTTGGGCATGTGTTGCAGCCAGTGGCACAGGAACATTTCACAGGAAGGGGGAAGAATGGATTCAGTTAAATTTCCAGCAAATTCTTGAAGCAAACATCACACCATCTCTAAAAAAGCTCAAGATGAAGAAAGGATGGCTTCTACAACAATGATCCTAAACACACCTTGAAATCCACAATGTACTACCTCAAGAGGAGCAAGCTGAGGATTTTGCCATGGCCCTCACAGTCCCCCGACCTAAACATCATTAAACATCTGTGGATAGACCTCAAAAGAGCAGCGCACGCAAGATGGTCCAAGAATCTCACAGAGCTAGAAGCCTTCACAGTGAAGAAAATCTTCCAAACAAGAATTGAAAGACTCTTAGCTAGTTACAAAAAGCATTTAGAAGCTGTGATACTTGGGTGCTACTAAGTACTGATTACCTAGGGTGCCTAAACTTTTGCTGAAAGCCCTTTTTCTTTTTTTATTTTGAAACTGTAAAAGATTGAAACTAAAACGTAATGTTGCATAAAATATTGAAGAAATGTGTCATCTTTAACTTTATGCCCTTTGGAGATCAGTTGATCTCACAGTAAATAAATTTTGACCAGGGATGCCTAAACTTTTGCATGCCACTGAATAGTGAGGATATGTGCTGTGACTGAAATAAAGAACTGAGGATTTCTGCACTTCCTTTGTGTTGCTGACATGCTCCAAATGTGTTTTCCCCTCTGCGTATTTAGAAAATCACAGGCTAGAGTCATCATATCAGAATCACTTGGTCCTCAAAGTATTAGTAGTGAGTATAAATCACATCTATGTTTTCCAGAACATTGCCAATTTCATCCCACAGTGATAAGTGTGCAACTTTTCTTGTCAACAGTTGACTTATCATGGCTGTTTTGACTCTTTTCTTCCTAGTTCAACTTCTTCAACTGTTTTGCCTCACTGTTCTACATCGCCTTTGTCATGCAGGACATGGTGCTACTCAGACAGGTAGGCCTACTTCCTTCCTTTATTCTTTTCAGCTTCTTCTCTTCCTTCAGGGGTGCAAACTTGTCATATTTCGGCAAAATTGCTGTTTTGAATACCAAATATGACATTTGTGAGATTCATGTAGATCTGATGAGTTTTTGAAAAATTGGGGGAGGGGTCTGAAAGGACAGAGTCATGGGGACTTAAAGAGACAACAGATAGCATCTTTTCCTATATATATCATTATGAAAATAATGTGGGTTGCACAGGGTAGTGGCCACAGTAAAATCAGACTATCAGCGTTTACACAGGTTATTTAGTTACTTTGTAATAAGCATCTGCCACCGGGGGCAAAATTTCACAGAAAAAAATCTGCTTTACGGCAGGAAACGCGTCATGTATTGCTAAACTGGTCGGTCAGCCAATCAGGGACTGGAGCGAGTTCTTGAGGAGTTGGGCATGAGATAGTTGATCCATGGGCACAATGGCAGACAGACGAACGAGCTCCTCTGTCTGAGGAGGCAAAGAAGAGCAAAAAGGAGAGTGATAAAAGAAGAGGAAAAACAAGTAAACCTCAGTCAGGGGTTCAAAAGATGGAGGGCGCTCCGTGACCAAAGGCTTCAAAACCGATGTCCATCTAGGTTTCTCTCTAATGGATCAGTAACGTTAAGTAACATGGCTAAATGTTAGCTAGATGAGAGGACTGTACTGTACTGGCTGCTAGTTCATTCCAGCTGGCCAGCATCGCAAATCGCTGCAACCGGGGACCGGGTAGTGAGTGTTGGCTGACATCCTCGTTACCATTCTACGGCAGCCCTCGGACAGTGATACCGTTGATAGTGTTGTTTGTACTGGTACTGTGCATTCTGGTATAATTATTTGCATTACTATTGTTTTTTTCTTCAGATAACTCTGATAATTGTTGCTCGGTCTCTTTACTCATTTATTTAGTATAGTGTCCACACACCTTCTCATTCTACATATACATAGAGGTATACAGGTGGCTTTACAGCCTACATTTTATTGATTATCTCTGATCCCCATGGTCAATTTGGTCGTTGCGACAGTGCGAGCAACACTGCTGACACTAGGTGGCGCCAAGCTACAAAAAAACATAGATAACATACAGTTATAACTGTCTGAAGGAGGAACTAGTTGATGTTTTCACAGCAATGTAAAAAAGACAGCAGAAAGGGAATGATGATATATATAGTAAAAAGGCTTTGGAAGTAGTTGTTAAAATGTAACTTGATTGACTAAATAGCAGTTGCAATACCCTTAAATAGCAAAAACCACAGTATTTTTTTACTAGCTACAATGTACAATATGTTCATACACTTTGGATCCAGCTTTGCACTCACTTGACTGTTTTGTTTTTAGTTCTCTGAACTGATGTCCTCTTTACATTACTTTTGTGGCAGTACAATAAACTTAATTTTAGGGTGTGTTATTCCCTGTATCCTCATGCTGAAATCAACTGGAAATCCACAATTTAAAGCTGATATTTAAAAGAAAAAAATGGGATCACAGGAAAGGAAGATTTTTTTTAATTTAATTATCATCCTTGTTTGTTCCATTGTTTTATTATGCCTCTGCGCCAGCGATAGCTGTGGCTGAAGGCATTATGTTTTTAGTTTGACCGTCTGTCCATCGGTCTCATTCTCGCGAACACAATATCTCAAGAACGCTTTGAGGGAATGTCTTTAAATTTGTCGCAAACATCCGCTTGGACTCAAGGATGAACTGATTAGAATTTGGTAGTCAAAGGTCAATGTCACTTTGCCCTCACAAAATGAGTTTTTGGCCTTAACTCAAGAATTCATATGCTTATTATGACAAAATTTCACACAAAAGTCTAATAGGCTAAAATAATGAAGTGATGACATTTTATATCCAAATGGTCAAAGGTCAGCTTCACTGTGACATCATAATATTCTGCGTTAAACACTTTTCTGGCCATTACTCAGCATCATATCTCAGGAACAGACATTTGGTCAGATACTGAATTGGTGATACTAATCTTGGGTGTCCACCTTGAAACTGTGCTTATTGTATAGATCTTCTGTGTTGCTGGGGGTAAGATGTGTGTGAAGCATCCATGTTTTCACAGACATGAATGTAAACTGTAAGTGCAACTGACGGCATACAACCACAGAGCTGTAAATCTAGCTTTTGTCTTACTTTATTTTTGTTTCCTTTTCCTCATATCCATTTTCATTTGTTTCTTTCTTTCTTGATCCCTTTATTACGTCCCTCTTAACACTTTATCACCTATTCTCCTGGTGCTCATTTTACCCTCTTTCCCTTTCCTTTGTTTCTTTCTTTCTTCTACCATTCTGCCTTCTCACCTTCCATTTGTCTCTCCTTTCTCCACTCTTTAATTTCTACCTTCACTTGTGGCTTTTTTCGATTTCTCCATATTTATTTACTTTCCTTTACCATTCATCCCACCTCCCCTCTTTTAATCCTTCTTCCCCTCACCCCACCTGGTTTCCATTGCTCTCCTGTTCTTGTCTGTATCCAGAGTCTGGCCACACTATTGATCACTAGTCAGATCTTGAATCAGTTTATGGAGGCCTTCCTACCCTACTGGCTCCAGAGGAGACGCAACAAGAAGATGATCCGCAAAGTCCAGAATGGAAGAACTCTGGAGGACAAAGAGCTTCCTCTGGTTGAGCAGGTCCGGCTGGAGGCCGACATGAGCACATACTTGGTAAGTGCCTGCAGTCTTTTAATGTAGATTGCAGCCTTTACATGACCTTGTTATCATGTAACCTTCAGAGTCCATTACTTAGTGTGTGTGTTTGTGAGTATGTGTGTCTGTCCCTCCCTCCCTCTTCTCAGGGTACCTTTGATGACTACCTGGAGCTCTTCCTGCTTTTTGGTTACGTCAGTCTCTTCTCCTGTGTCTACCCTCTGGCTGCTGTCCTGGTGGTGCTGAACAATATCACCGAGGTTTACTCTGATGCCTTTAAGATGTGTCGTGTGTTCAAACGACCCTTCTCGGACCCGGCAGCAAACATAGGAGTCTGGCAGGTAAAAGACTCAGACTGCTAGCTTGTTTGTGAAGAACTATATGAGATTGCTGCAGCATTTTTGATGGATTTATCTGATTTTTCTTAAAACAAAGGTGGTATTTGATGTTATTTTTAGGAAAAGAAAAACTAAACACATTACCTGTAATCTTTATTTTTTAAGTGCAGACCAAAGGTTCAAGTAGGATTGAACAGCATAAGATCAATGACAAACATATATCCTCTCCTTTTGCCACATTGGCAAGTGGGGTTTTATGAGGTACTTATCCAAAGTCAGTGTATTACCTACAGAAGATCAGCTATGTACTGCTGTGGACAGGGGTCAGCAGCAAAACATATTTTCCTCACTTAAAAAAAGCCTACCTAAAAACATTGATATTAGTTTGAGTGGATGCTGTACTGAGACTATTTTCACAGCTTTACCTCACCGTCAGACAGTCCTTTCTTTTGGCACTACATTTTCTTAGCCGTAGAACTTCTTTATTCTTGGGCATAAGCCTAACCATGCCGTGTGATGTTTGATGCTGCAGGTCAGCTGTTGGGGCCAGAAAGTGCTGCTGCATGATCAGACTAAAAACAGACTTCACTTTTCTAAAGATTTAAGAGATGGTGTGTGCTTTTTTTCTGGGCTGTTCAAACAGAAATGAACACAGCTGTGGTTAGTTCCACTGAATATACACATCAAAACAATAGAGAAGTTCTATGGTTGAGAAAATGTAGTCCCAAATGAAAGGGCTGTCTGACGGCATTGTAAAGCGGTGAAAATATTCTCAGTATAGCATCCACTCAAACTGATAATAATTTGTTAGGTAGACCTTTTTTTAAATGTCTGAAATACATTTTGCTGCTGACCCCTGTCCACAGCAGTACATTGCATAGAATGCTTCTGTCTCCAAACTGGAAGCATTTTGGCTATATACTTTATGTAATACACTGCCTGTGGATAAGAACCTCATACAGCCCCACTTCAGAAAATCTGAGCTATCCCTTTAAGAACAAGTAGTATTTATCGTTTAGTCTACACTCTGCTCAGCTGGGAAACAAAGGTTTCCATTTTTGGAAACAAGTCACTGACTGTTGCTGTCTCTCTCTGTGTCCAGCTTGCCTTTGAGGCCATGAGCGTGATAGCTGTTGTGACCAACTGTTCGCTGATAGGCATGTCTCCACAAGTCAAGGCATACTTCTCCAACTCAGAGACACAACTCATACTGTGGACTGTAGCTATTGAGGTAATTCATGTACACACTCTTACACCAAGAGTATGATCCCATACAGTATCTAATTGTTTTGACATGACTTGTAATAAAACAAGGCTTAGCTTGGCTTGTATCAGAATGCTAAAAGCACAACCAGGAGCAGGGACAAGTCTGTTTTTTCAGATTGTAAGAACTTCATTTATTCATTTATTTATTTTGTCCCCATGGGGCAATTCATTTGCAGGAGTGTGGACATGACATATAACATATGACATACAGTACAGGCCAAAAGTTTGGACACACCTTCTCATTCAATGCGTTTTCTTTATTTTCATGACTATTTACATTGTAGATTCTCACTGAAGGCATCAAAACTATGAATGAACACATGTGGAGTTATGTACTTAACAAAAAAAGGTGAAATAACTGAAAACATGTTTTATATTCTAGTTTCTTCAAAATAGCCACCCTTTGCTCTGATTACTGCTTTGCACACTCTTGGCATTCTCTCCATGAGCTTCAAGAGGTAGTCACCTGAAATGGTTT